GCACTGAAGCAATATTATTAAGGATTAGCCTGAAGTTAATGAGAAGGTCAGAAGATGGAAATGAATTACAGTAGAATAACAAACTATTGTTACATGGCTCACTGGAAGGAGGGAAAAAAAGTATTTCAGGACAAAATGAAGTGGAATTTAAGATGATCTGATATCAAAAGCAGAAGTAGGAAATGACAGAATTACCCTGGAATGAAAGCCCTTTTGCTTTGTTTTAGTTAAACTTTTTCTACTTGTATTTTGTTATATACCTAATTTCCTTTTATTGAATGTTATCTTGCCCAAGGAAACATTGTGACTGTTAGATATTAAACATCCATTGCTTCTATCAAATACTTTTGGGCCCTGAATGTTGTAGCAAACAGACCTGCCAGCAGCAATGCGACTGGATAGTACAAAGTACATTGTAAAGCCTCTCTCAGGGGCTGTGTTCTCATCATGACTAAATGTATCCTTTCCACTCATTTTATTTTGTAACATTTATTTAGTAGGCACAAAAGTATTTCTAATAGGTTTATGCAAGCTCGTCTTCCAAAATGCTCTGGGTAAATGTTTAAACCAAGACTCATTTGTGTGTAAAGCCTAAACCTGCTCTGCTTCCTGTGGTTCCTACGTTAAAAAAAAAAAAAAAAAAAATGGCACCACCCTGCATTCAGTTATACAAGCCAGATACCCAACAGCCATCCTTGAAATTGTCTCCTCTCTTATTTCCCAAGTAAAATTCATTACCACCTTCTTTTGGTTATAATTCTAAAATCCCTATTGGTTCTCCCCAATTTCCTATCTCAACTTTTAAGACTGGTCAGTGCTACTGTTGCCTGGACTATGGCAATGGCCTTTCAAATGCTCTGCCTGTATCCATTCTCCTCACTGGAGCTAGCATGATCTATCCCATTGGTTCCTGAGGGATTCCTTGGCTCCAGGTTTCCATGGCTCCTGAGATACAGACCCAGATCCATAACCTGGCCCACAAAGGTCTGAAGGGAGGTGGTACCTGCTTGGCAATTCAGCCTTACCTTGTAGCACTCTCTCTTTTATTCCCTAAACTGCAAGACCAAAGCCTTTCGTCAAGTTCCTTTAATAAGCCCAGCTCCATTCTGCCACAGGGTTTGTGCAAGGGCTGTGTGCTTTGCCCTGAAAGTTCTTCTCCATCTTGGCCTTACTAACTCATTAATTTCAGCTCAGTTCATTTTCTCAGAGAAACTTCATCTGTTTTTTTTCTTTTCTTTTTTTTTTAATGGTTGCATCCTGCTAGGAACTCTCCTGTCAAACTTTTAAATTTGCTTAAATGCTTCTTCAATGTCTGGCTCCTGCAGACTGTGAGCTCTGTGAGGGTGGGAACTGGTTCAATTTTTGCTCTCTTTTGTATTGCCTGTGCTTAGCACAATAACTGGTACATACTTGGTGCTTGATAAATATCTGTTGAAGCAAAAATATATAAATGGGACCTGATCAAGTTAAAAAGCTTCTGCACAGCTAAGGACAATATCAACAAAGCAGAGAGAGAACTTTCAGAGTGGGAGAAGATATGGCATGCTTCAAATCCGACCAAGGGCTAATAGAAATTCACAAAGGACTCAAACAAATCAACAAAAAGAGCAAATAATTCCATCAACAACTGAGTAAGAGACATGCACAGAATCTTTTCTCATGAGGACAGATGAATGGCCAACAAACACATAAAAAAAAGTTCATCATCTCTAATTATCAGAAAAATGCAAATCAAAACCATCTTGAGATGTCACTTAACCCCAGTGAGAATGGCCCATATCACAAAGTCCCAGAGCAATAGATGTTGGGGTGGGAACAGAGTGAAGGGAACCTTCACGCACTATTGGTGGGACTTCAAATTAGGAAGACTTTATGGAAATAAGTATGAAGGGTCCTCAGAAAAACTAAAAGTAGACCTTCAATTCGATCCTGCAATCCCATTACTAGGTATCTACCTAAGAAGAAAAAAGGTAAAAAGTCATTTTACCATAAGGACATTTACACTTGAATGTTTATTGCAGCCCACCAGAGAATCTTATCTTTCTGAATCTTTACCCTTGTGTCTCTGGGGCTGGACATACCACAAAGGTTTGGATGATTTCTTATGCAGTAATAGGTAACTCACACAATATCTCAAAGCATACACAGTATTCTCTTTTATCTGATGTTTTGCTTTCCATGTTTTCAGTTACCCATGGTCAACCTTGTCCCAAAAATAGGTGAGTATGGTATGATATTTTGAGAGGGAGATACACCTCATTCACATAACTTTTCTTACAGTTATACTGTGCTAATTATTCTATTTTACTGTTGTTGTTAATCTCTTACTATCCCTAATTTATAAATTAACCTTTATCAAAGGTAGGTACATATAGGAAAAAATATACTACATACAGCCTTCAATACTGCTCAGGGTTTCAGGTATCCGCTGGGGGTCCTGGTATAATAAGATAGTCACTCCTTCTTCCATAGATATGGAAGTATAAAATTGAAAGTGGGGAATATGTAACAGAGGAAATGGCCTGAAAAAAAATGGCAAAAAGGTCTTCTGTTTAACACTTCCCCCACTCTTTTTTGGGAACTGAGACCTGTGTCCCTGCTTCAGGCCAATAGTGGAGAGGGGCAGGGGAATCACTTTTGTTCTTTGTACTGTAGGAGATGGACCAGAAGGCCCAGTGTGTGGCTGGCTGTCGGAGGTTAGGTGTGCCCCCCAGGTGGGCAGAGGTCACGGCTTTGTCTCGGCATTATCTTCCATAGAGATGGGATGATTAAATCATAACTGCAGTTGAACAACAATAACTTAGAACTGAGGGCTCTCCCTTTAAAACAGGGGTCCTCAAACTTTTTAAACAGGGGGCCAGTTCACTGTCCCTCAGACCGTTGGAGGGCCAGACTGTGGGCCCCTGGACGAGTCAGCTGCTAAGCAGGACAGGCAGTGGTGGCAAAAACCCAGCGGGCTGGGTAAACGTCCTAGGTGGGCTGCACGTGGCCCACGGGCCATAGTTTGAGGACGCCTGCTTTAAAAGCTCTGTATTTCTGGTTATTGACAAGAATTTTGACCTTGATATAAGGGTCTCCCATTTTCCTCCTGTGCTGGCAAAATGGTCTCCCATATTTCTCCTTTTCCTGGGAAGTAATAAAACTCTTCCCTTCTCTTCAAACTACTTGTTCTCATTCTTTTGATGTGGCCTCAAGGGCAAATGCTAAGTAACATTGCAATATATAGGAGGAGGGGGAACTCCTATACCAAAATAGATTCCAGATCAGTTGAATAGTTAAACATAACATTAAAAAAACTAATAAAGTATTAGAAATGTGCTGCCCTCAGACGTTGCGTGGCTGGCTCTCTCTTGCTGTTCAGGTCTCAGACCAAACATTATCTGTACAACAGGTTCTCCCTGAGGGACACCACTGAAGGTCTGTCCTTTCAGCTTCCTTAATTTTGTCTTATTTGTATCACTGTGAGTTTATTGTCTTTTTCTTTTTTCTTATTGTCTGCTTCGCTAACTGGAATGTAAGATTCATGACAGCAAGAACCTTCTAAATACTTCTTGCTGCAATATCCTGGTATATTATCATTCAATAAATATTTGTTGAATTCATGAATAAATGGAAGACATTTTGGTACTTTAACTGTCTAGGGTTCACATAATGGAAAATATAAATTTGACTAAGAGGGGTGAGGAACCTGCAGCCTTAGGGACAAATGGGGCCTTCTAGATCCTTAAGTGAGGATTTTAAAAATTTGAAGTCAATGGAAGGCTGCACTTAAAGTTCTAGAATCCCCACCGTAGCCATAAGGCCACAGCTCCCCCACATCTAGCTTAGCATTAAGCCTCTAGGAAAGTGCAATAGAAGCAAACAAGTAAAAGTGAAAGAGAGACAAGAGAATCTGAAAAGCAATAGCAAGAAATATGGCAAGGGCCCAAATCACTTTACAAAGATACCATTCAAATTCATATGTAAAACATCAATATAGGAACAGAATATTTACATCAGAAAACACACAGAGAATTTAGAAACATCAAAAAACATCAGATATTTGAAGTAATCAAAGAACTACAGGTATAAAAACCTTGAGTTAACATTTTATACCAAGGAATTTAAAGGGAAAAAAGGCATAACTTAGCGTCAGGTGATGAATTCTGATAGTAATGTAAGTTTGTACACTTTGGAAAGCAACATCATTGATAGTTATTAAAATATTTTTGTTTTTTTTAGGGAAGTCATTCAAAGAAAATAATTCAACAGATGTAAAAAGCCAACAGATGGACAAAGGTACTCTTCACAATATTATTTTCACAGTAAAACTTAAAAACTTTGCCTTGTCCAGTTGACGGACAATTATTTTGGCTGCGGCCTTAGTAACGGATGGGATTTTATGTCACTAAATGTTAAGACTGTGAGGATTATGAAGCAGTATGCTAACGTTTACGTCAAACTAGATGAGAGGCAGCATCTAAAATAGAATTCATATATTCAATAAGATGGTGGAACACACATTCAGGATCCTTCTCCTTGAGATAGGTTCAGTTCCATAATTACAGAAGACGTGGAAGAAACAAAAACTTAACTATCTTCCTTATATTCACTTTTTAATTATGTAATAGACCCCCAAGTCTAAGAGTTGCAGCATTCGCCCATATTTCCCTTTCAAATTTGTCCAATTAATCACATTTTAAAAACGCTTGTTTTCCCTGCATCCCGCTTCATATATTCCAAGAATTGGCAGCACTGAGCAAAAGAAGAAGGAGGAAGCAGGGAAAAACTAAAGTTTATAGGATCACGTTCTTTCCCTCTTCCTCTCCTCCAAGCTTTCTTCTTCAGTGTTGTATCTATTTTATAATACACAGACTGAAAAATTCAGCTAAAGATAAAAAGCCACCACTCCACAGTGTCTCGCCCCAGCTCCGCAGGGAAACTAGCCAGCCGGAAGGTGGGGACGACGTCGCAAAAACCGAAACGCACAACCCCCTGCCGCTCTGCTTTACGGCACTTGCTCCGCCCCTCCAGGTGCGGGAAGTCTGAAGCCGGCAAACATGGCCGCCACCTACTGCCTCGGTCGCGCTGCGACTGCCCTGGCAGCGTTGTGGCTCTTGTCCTTCGGCAGCTTGGCAGTTAGTCAAGTCGAGGTAGGAGCCAGGTTTCTAGACGACAGCGCCCTGGGAGGCTGGCTGTGTCGTGGCCGTGAGAGCTTCAATAGATGACACATAGACAGCAGCTCAGGGAAACCTGGAATCGTCAGACCCTAGCGGGGCTGTGGGGTGGGGACCGGATAGGACAGTGTCTGTCTGTTTCAGCCTTTTCAAACGATACATTGAAAGAATGAAATCCTTAGAGATAGACGAGGACTTGATTCTTTGCTCCTACGTGTGGGCAGTCCTTAGCAGGTCAAATGTCAGCACAGGAGTGCAGCACCTGCTTTCCTGCTGTGATCTGCACCGCTCTCATTTGATAGGTGTCGGGGGGGGGGGGACGGTTTTTAGACTTCTCTCCATCGTGCCCCCTCTCCTTTGTAACATGGCCACAGAATATTATGGTTCTCCAGAGTGTTTTTACTATCCCTGTACTCTAATGATTCCTCAGTCCACTTCGACAACCTAGATCTCTAGTGTCATTTTCAGGTTTGCATGTCTGTCTGGCTAAGGGGCCCGGAAATTAGCTGACATTTGTTTTCTTCTGTTTATCCCACTTCTTCCTAAAAAGACTCTAAGTTCCTGCATTTCTTAACTCAGAAATGTTCCTCCAAAACTGGAGACCTGGGAGTTTGAATAAATAGCTCTCTTTATTCCCCATACTAATTCACTACTGCCAATTCTAATTCACTAAATTCTATGATCTGAACTCTTAAAATTGATTTCATTGCTCCAGTTCCACTGGCTTAGTTCAGGCCATGGTCATTTCTTGCCTAGACTATTGTGATTATTTTATCTTGTTTCCTCTAGGCTTCCATATTTCCTCACTTTAATACTAGATTAGACATCATAAAATGTAAGCATAATGAGATTATTCTTCTGGCTAAATCTTTTACGTTTTTCTCCACTGCATACAGAATAAAATCTAAACATTATGATCTGACTCCAGTCTATTTTTCCAGTCTTTTATATTGGAACCTTTTCTTCCCATCACCTCAGCACTGTGACTTCAGACCAGGGGATCTCAAACTTTTTGAATATGCACCTTGTCAGTTAAAAGATATTGAATGTGCACTTCATAAATAATCATGAGTTATTGTTAATTTATATAGTAAATGCTTGTATATAGTATACTTTTTAGGTAAATATAAATAAGAATAAATAGAAGTACTACTGTTTTCCTCCATCATTACAGTGCATTATCTTGTATACTTCTTTTTGGACACCATTCTTTTTGTAGATGCACATTCACATTACTATGTTTTGTGCATCCTGTTTCCTCTGTCTGTTCATTTACTAAAATGCAGTAAAAGCATAACTTCTGCAGAGTCTTTCCCTCTTTCTTGCCTTTGACTTAATGTTGTAATTGTATGTTTAGCTAGCACAGCACTCATTTGCTATGTGTGTTTGGTGCTGTTATTCCACCATTTTTTACTTAAAGATGGGATCAAAAGTTCTCTAACTGGTTTGCCTTGACTCATTCTTTTTTTCTTCTAGTCTGTTCTCCAGGCTGCAGCCAGAGTAACTTTTTAAAATACCTATCTGATCATGTCACTGACATGCACCTTGATGTTGCCTAAAAATAAAGAACAAACTTCACTGTGACCCACAAACAAAACCCTGCATACCTTGGCCTCTCAATACACTTCAAATTCTCTCTCTCTCTCTCTCCTTCCTACTGCTAGTTATGTTTCTCTTTTTTCAGTTTTTCAATACCTTTAATCTGCCTTCTGTTAAGGGACCATGTTCCCTCTGTTTGTGGGACCGTAATCCCTCTGCAATTGTCTTCTTTTTTGTCTTCAACTTTTGGGTGTTAATCCAAAAGTCACTTGATTAGGGAAACCTTCCTGACCCGGTCAGGTCCCCTTATTATACTCTTTTATTATAGTGTTTCTCTCTCCTTTTAGGGTTTATAGTTGGCCCTTTTCTGCTTAATGTTTGCTTATCCAATTGGTAGTAAGTACTGTGACTATTTTTGCTCTTCATTGTATTCTGAGGACTCAGATGCCGGATGAATGTGTTATATTAATGAATGTTACTTTGTCTTATCTTTAATGTTTGATATTGTGACTAATATTAAGGAGTGAGTTAGCATTAGGGTAATACAGAGATTTTAGAGAATCAACAGAAATAATTATGCAATTATTAAGGGATTAAAATGACTCTGTGCAACACTCAGGCATAGTAATTTTGGTTGAGGATGTAGGAAGATTGTTATTTCTTTCTTTTTTCTTTCTTTTCTTTTTTTTTTGAGACAGAGTCTTACATTGTTGCCCTTGGTAGAGTGCTGTAGTGTCATAGTTCACAGCAATCTCAAACTGTAGGGCTCAAGCTATTCTCTTGCCTCAGCCTTCCAAGTAGCTGGGACTATAGGCGCTTGCCACAATGCCTGGCTATTTTTAGAGCTGAGGTCTCACTCTGATTCAGGCTAGTCTTGAACCTGTGAGCTCAGGCAGTCTGCCTGCTCTCGGCCTCCCAGAGTGCTAGAATTACAGGAGTGAGCCACCATGCCTAGTCAGAAGATTGTTATTTCTTACAAGAAACTTATGGGGATAAAAACTATATGATATTACTAAACATGAAATATTATTCGTGAGAAATTTCAGGCATAAGCATTTTTATCTTGCATTTTCATTGTAGAGAGTAACCACTTTAGTAGAGGGATTATCAGAGTACATTCTGAAAGGAGATTTTGAAAATCATGTTTTTATTGTAAAACCTTTATTTAATGCCATCTCCTCTTATTCTGAACCTATCAGCCATGTGTTTATAGTTTTCTATAACAGATTCTTGCTTTGTTTTCTGCCAGTAAAGGCACTTGGACCATGTAGTCATTCATTTAAACTCCACCATGCACAGAGCATACTTGGGACATACCAGCAAATACAACTTAAAATAAAGTCCCTGCCCTACTGGAGCTTACATCCTATTCAGCAGAGACAGACAATTAATACACAATATAAATAAGTTAATTACATATAATGTAAGAAGCTGATAAAATGGAAAAATAAATCATCAGGAAAATAAAGAAAGTGATGGGGTGAGGTTGCAATTTTAAATTATAGCTGTCTTAGTCTGCTTGGACTATTATATAGGAATACCTGAGGCTGGGTAATCTACCCAGAAAAGAGGTTTATTTAGCTCACTGTTCTACAAGAAATACAGCGCAGCATGTGCTTTGGTAAAGTCTTCATTGAACTTCCAATCATGGCAGAAGGGGAAGGGGAACAGGTGTTTCACATGGCGAGAGTAAGAGCAAAGGACAGGGGAAAGGTGTCAGTCTTAAACCGACTCTCATGTGAACTAATGTAGAGTGAGAGCTCACTCATTAGTCCAAGGATAGCACCAAACCGATCATAAGGAATCCCTTCCCATGACCAAAACATCTGCCCCAAGTCCCTGCCTCCAACATCTGGGATCAACTTTTGATATGAGATTTGGAGGGGACAGATATCCAAACTACATCCATACCCTTGTTAGAGCTGTTAAGCAATTTGTATATTCTTTATTTAGAACATTTTCTACTTTTTAAATAAATCTCAGGTGATGGGAAATAGTAAGATGTGAACTACATAATAGAATACACGTTCATTTGCTTAATACTTAATAATTTTTTAAAGCGTACCCATCTTTACAGTCCTTTAAAATAACACCGTGATGGGGGTGAGCATTGCTTTCGTTTTGCACATGAGAACGAGTGTCAAGGAAGTTAAGTATCTGAATCAAGGTTACTGTGTTTAATAATCAGTGTTTAAGCCAAGACTGAAACCTAGCTCTCCAGATTTCTAGTTCAGGGAAATACTACACTGCAATATTTTAAATTATTAGCTCTTTTGGTTCTTTATTTTAACCATAAAGTTAAATATGAGAATCTTTATAAACTAACATAACATAGTTGTTATTACAACTGTATAAACTCCATGAGTCTTAACTGTCCTTTATCAGACTTTACCTGGGAATTGTGGCTTTTTCTTCTAATTGTTTGCTTTATTAATAGAATCAAGCAGAACAATTCTTTAGAAGTGGCCATACCAACAACTGGGCTGTTTTGGTAAGTATATTCTATAAAGCTATACCTTGCTGTTTATAGAGCTATATGTGTGGGAAATTTTGTGTGAATCAAGTTTTTGAAAATAAAATTTATTTTTATTTATCTTATACCCAACAGAATTTTTAATTTTGATTTGGCTATATTTTAAATTGTATCAACTAATAATATTCTAGTAATATTCTTTGCCCTTAATATGTCTGTCAAGTTTTGATCTATAACTCTAAGAATGAATTAGAATGCCATTATTAAAGGAAGCATTTTATAAAAGAATTATTTTAATACACATAACTAGTAATTTTATTTCTTATCTGTAGAAGTTTATAGATATTCTATATGTAATCTAGTTTTTTTTTAGTTTTTTCTATCTAGAAATATAATAACCATTATGGACCATTATAGAACATTCAAAATATACAGAAAAATTTAAAGGAAGACAGATTAATTTTGTGTTATGTGAATTTTACCTCAATTAAAAAGAAGAGAGAGAAGACAAGGAAAATGTCTTCAAACCCCAGATCCCAGAGTTGATATTTTGGCGACTTTCTTCAGGCTCTCTTTTCATATAAAAGCACAAATATGTAAAGCAGCCGTTCTCAACCTGTGGGTCGTGACCCATTGGGACTGTTTTAAAGGGCTGTGGCATTAGGAAGGTTGAGAACCACTGATGTAAAGGCACATGGTTTCATATTACTGGAATTACATTGTATCTGCTGTTTCATAACACCTTGGCATTATCTTGGGGTCTTTCCCTGCCAGTTGGTATGGTGACATACAATCTTGTCTAAAGGCTTTCTTGTGTTCTATTTTATGAATGTGTCATAACCCCCAGTTCATGGCATTGAGATTCTAAATTTTTCAGTGTTATTAACAGTTCTGTGTTGAACATGCTTCTAGCACATCTTTGTGAACTTGACTCATTTTCTCTTCTGGGCAAATTTCTAGGCATAAGAATCTGAAGTCACGGAGCATGACTGCCCTCTAGAAAGGCTGTGTGTCTTTTTCTAAATTCAAGTCAACTGTATATTATTAACTTTGATCTTTTCCTTTTGACTGCTGGGAAACAAATTAAATTTTGTTTTAAATTGCATTTTTTAGATTCTTAGTGAGGTTCACTTATTGGCCTACTTTGTTCTTCTGCCTCCCCCCGCCCCATGTGAATTAATTTTTCTGAATTTATAAATTCATATTTTTAATTCCCCAGATAGAATACATGTAAGCAATTTTGTTTTTTCTGTACTCAACAACCTCTGTACACTGATCACCTCCTTACTTTGACCTAATTTTCATAGACTGAACATGTACTACATGTGTATATCAGTACAGCTGGCCTAGTTCCTTATGTGGACCAGTTTATCACAGTCCCTTGGGTGGTCAACTTACAGAGGTTGTACTGTATTTGGATAATAGTTTCACTACTGAGGTTTCATTTAATGACGTTTACATGATTAGAAGATACAGTAAATTGACTTGATGAAAAAACAGGTACAAGGATTAACTGGAGGTAATAATAAGGAATAGGTTCAATGAGGGAGGAAAGGAAGCTTCTGTCTTTGAAAAAGAAAGGGAACAGAGAGTGTACAGCATCTCCAAGCCAGTAATGCATGTTGGAGAAAGGGAAATGTGGGACTCAAATGTTAAGAATATAGTGGGACTGTGAAGAAGGTGGGTGGAGGAAATGTGTTAAAATCACTTTTGTTTGAATACTTCAGGTGTGTACATCCCGGTTCTGGTTTAATTATCGACATGTTGCAAATACTCTTTCCGTTTATAGAAGTGTCAAACGACTAGGTATTCCTGACAGGTAAGAGACCTTAATGAAGCTTAACTTTGAATCCTAATAAAGATCACTATTAGATGATTGTTATTATATTTGTATTTTTGTGTTGTTTTTGAAAAAGATAAACCTGATTTGAAGTTTTTTGTTGTTGTTAGAACGTACTGCCATGTGGTATAAAGTAGATGTTACTTAAAACCACAGTGGCAAATTATGTGTATAAAAGAAACATCAAACATAAAAAAGATTTAATAAAGTGTGATTGTTTAGTGTTACTCATTTAATTATTAGATACCTCGGTCAGGATTTCAATTGTGGGAACAGAAGGCAATTCTGACTGATGCAAGCAGAAAAAAGAATTTATTGAAAGCATATTGATTAGTTCATTGAATTGGTAGGAATGTAGTCTTATGTCTATCAAATATAGGAATGTAGCCTGAAATAGTCAAGAACAAACAAGACTAGATAACAGGAAAGACCCAGCTGAAAATGAAGACGTAACACCAGTCTGGGGACAGTAAGGGGGCGACCTACACATTGCTGGTGGCTAGACTCAGCCCCGTGTAGCTGCTGCTGTTGCCTGTGAATCTTAATGTTGCTACTGCTTCCTGCTGCCAAAATCCAGCCTTTGGTGTCCCAAGTTCTTACTGTCCTAACCCTTACTGAGTTCTAGGTGGGCATATCGCATTGGCAGAGTCTGGGGTAAGCCCACATGTCGGCGCTGCAGGGTGCCTGGAAGAGTGAGTCTGTGGCACCGTTAGCTTCCGTGTAGGGAGACTCATAGAGGAGAAATTTTCTGTTCAGGGACAGAGTTCAAGTACTCAGCAGCACCCCTACACTTTTACCCAGCTTGTGTCCTCTCCATTTGGTTTTTCTAGGGGAGGTTTGTTTTTACTTCTCCCAAGGCAGCTATGTCAGGAAATGTCAGTTCAGTCATTTAGGTCTGATTCACCTGGTACCTGTGGAGCAGTGTGAAAGAGTTTTGTAGTCAGATGTGTGTTTGCAGTCTGACTTCAGTGATGGATTTGGTTAAGTCACTTTGCTGTACTGGGCCTGTTTTTTCATCTGTTATATTGTATTAATAGTACCTTCTTTGGAGGATTCAAGTACTTAACAGCAGAAACAAGTAGAGATATGTAGAAAGTGCCGAAGAACGGAGAGGAAGCAGTGAATGGCTCAGGAGCTTATATTACATTTTGTATAAATAGATCATCTGAATCTGAGACACTGATAATATAAACCATAATATAATTTCTGTATTTAATCTAGAAATTAAGGCAACTAGGTAATATTTCTGTTTTCAAAATCACGTTAAATTAAGTCTGAGAAGGAAGTTGATTTGTTATCTCAAGTGCATAGGTATAATTCTTATCATTTGTCATTTCTTATCAGATAGGTTTATGTGGTTAGTCTTTTGGTTTTTAACTGCTTTTGCTTCCATACCCAATATACAGCTCCAGAGAATTATTATGCATGGCTTGGCAATAGTTTTTACATCAGTAAATGAATCTTTTGCCTGTTTTATGAATCAGTCATTAAAATACATTTAAATGGCTTAAATATGAGTTGGAGGGAGTTTTTAGAAATAGAAGGTAGCAATAGAATGTATTTTGTATATTATGTTTATATATCGTTTTTAGTATAATTCTTTCTGAAGATGATTTTTAAATGTTTGCTTTTTTTTAAAATTTCCTTGCTTATTTTTTATTTTTATTTCTTTGATTTTTTTTTGTTGTTGTTGTTGAGACAGAGTCCCACCCTATGCCCCAGGCAGAGTGCAATGGTGTCATAGCTCACTGCAGCCTCCGACTCGAGCTGTGGGTATCCAGCTGCCTCAGCCTCCGGAAGCTGCTGGGATTACGTGTGCTTGCCGTGGCACCTGGCTGGATTATTCCTTTTTTTAGGAGTCGAGGTCTTACTCTTGCTTAGTTAGGCAAGTCTCGAACTCCTGAGCTCAAGCTATTCTCCTTCCTTGGCCTCCTACAATGCTGGGATTATAGGCGTGAGCCATGGCGCCCAGCTGAAGATTTTTTAAAAACTTATTTCTGCTTAAAATGTTTGCTTGTTTATATCTCTGTGTATGAAGTCTTCATTATGGGAGTGATTTGGGGATTTAAACAATTGATGATTTAAGCCATTTGTATTTAATGTATAGAAATCAATAGAAAAGATTTTGTTCAGCAGGTGTTGGGTAAACTAATAAATGCATGACTTGGAAATATGTTATCACTTGTGCAAAGCAAACACTTAAACTTGGAAACTTTAAAAGTACTTCTAAAGTTTGTACTTAAAAATTAAAAAATATTTATATCCTTATTTATTTATTTCTTTTTGGCCGGGGCTGGGTTTGAACCCGCCACCTCTGGCATATGGGTCCTGCGCCCTACTCCTTTGAGCCACAGGTGCCGCCCCACATATTTATATCCTTTAAATTGTGTTAGCTTGGGTTTTAAAGAATGTTCATTTGACATTAAAGACATTTTAATAAATAGTCAGAATTTTATCGTATTATTTCAAGATACTGACTCAGAGAAGAGGGATATTCATGGTTGTGGAGGTAAGTGGAAAGACCCCCTCATCCCACCTCCGTAAGCATCTCCAGCTTGACTGTTACCACTTTTATACCTGAGTTCCATTTGGGAGACGTGTTTTGCACTTTGTTCCCCCACTTTCTCCGTAACCTTATTCAGTCCTTGGTTTTACTTCCTGAAACGGTTCACTATCTTTAGGCAATTTTCTGCCCTCACATAATCGTTTTGGACTAAATCCTTGTTTAGCTACCTCCAATCTAGTTAATATGATTAAGATGAAGAGGAGAATATGCATTAAGCCTGGGTTAGATTCTCAAGTCAGTATGTGAAGTAAAAATAGAATCAAAATTACTGTAGACATTTTCTTAAATAGCACATAAATTGCACTGTAGTAGTGTCTTTCCTCTGCCAGTTTTTCTTCCAGTGCTAGAACAGAATACTGTTTTCTTGGTAAAGTGGCTTACTTAGGAGTAGGAGCCATGGCATAGGAGAAATATGCGTGTCATTAACACTGGAGTTGCATTGCTCCTGCTGTGAGAGGCACAAGGGAATTGAGGAGTGTAGAATCTTAGCGCCCTTTCATGTTTTCTCTGGGGAATAAATGCATTTAGTATTAAGTTGGTGAGATTTGTCTCTTTTTTGGGAAGGGTGGCTGAGTGCATAAGTTTATGGAGTAAAATGTCTATGTAATTTTTCTTAAAATATGAAAGTATGATTTAGCTCTACTGTAGGTTGGGTGGTTGTGAGTTAATGTAGTGATCCCTTTACCACGTCAACTGTTCTGTAATGTAGGGATCTGCATAGCCCTGGAAACTGATGCCTTATTTCTGTAGTTAAATCCACTTGCTTTTCTGAATGTCCCTGACACTATTTTTCCTTATTCCATATTTCAATCATTATGTGAGACTAATATCCCTAATTTTAAACTTTTATTCTTCATCTCTCCATATTCAGAAATTTTTAGCTTATGCAGAATAAAGTTCAGACCTCTTATTCTGGTACTTAAGGCTTTTTGCAGTGTGTTTTCAAATCTGACATTCTGACATTTTTGTTTCAATCCTTGATGCTCTAGCCATTTCTTTTAATCCTGGTATTGGTCTCCGCCCATTGCCTTACTCTGGTCCCTTCACCTACAATTTTTTCATTTCTCCCTCATTTCTAGTTTCCTGATGTTTAAATCCGATCCATGTATTCCCTACAGCTTTCTTGGAAGTAACATTTTATTTATACTTCTCTTGATGTCATTTCTTCAAGGTTGGAGGTAGCACTACGTATTTCTTATGGTGTATTCTTTGCTAATTGTTCAGAGTGAATGAGTGGGTGAGTAGTATGCTCAAGACCCATGGCTAAATGGGACTTCCTTGGTCTAGACTAGAAAGGGAACATTTGTAAATACTATTATTTATATTCTCTTTTAATCTCACTTTTCAAACCTGACTGAGCTAAAAGTGCTTTATTGCCAATTTTACAAACTATTCCTCAACTCCTGCTGCAGGTACGCGCGGGTGTACCGCGCCAGGCCCCTGGCACTGATTTCTGTCTGTCAGATAGAAGCCCACAGAGCCTGTTCAAGACAAGCTGACTTCAACCTCATGTATTCTCTACCCCTCTGCCATTTAAGTTCCTTCAGGAAACAGCTTTTCCTTTTTATCCCTTGTCTTTTTTAATTTGTTTTTCAAGTAGTAAATAGAAGAAGCAGGAGCTATTTTGTTAGTTAAGTCAATTCTGGTTCTGTTTTAATAAATTAAAAAAGAAAAAAATCACGAATTGTTACTATTGCTTTTTAAATCCTGTTGGCTTTTTACTGTGGCTTTGACTATTGCTCTTTATGCTGCTTTGTACGTGGTCTAAGGTGAAACATTAATACTGTATTTCAGCAATCTTATAATAATTCACTGAAATAACATGGAGAAGGAATATAGATACATGGTTCTTTGAAAACAGGGAATTGGATTCAAAAGAACCAAAAGAGAATTATTTTAATATATATTACCTCATCTTATTCTTATGATGGTCTTTAGAGATGGGTATAATTATGCACACTTGTCATTTAAATTCTTTATTAATTTCTAAAATGCATATCTCTGTGTTGAATGTAGTGCTGAGGGATTGTGAAAGTAGTTAATATTAATCGAATAAATATAAGGAATGCCTCCTTGATTTTACGATTGATAATATTTTATGACTTTTGCCTTATTGTTTATGAACAAAAGGACTGGACCTACAGAAAACGTCTTATGAAAATAATTTGCAGTGTGCAGTCATAATGATGGTCGAGATAATTTTAACTCGTGCCGTTGAATGTTCTTCTTGTCTCCTATCACTTCCCAACAGTTTTTCCTCATATACTCCTTAAAAACATAAATAATAATGTTTGACTATGGATACTTATGTATTCTGAACAATCTGTCATTTTATTCACACGTTGGCAGCTGATCTGGCTGTCACTCCACATGATGATCCTGGTGAAGAAGTGCATAATATCTTGAACAGGGAAACTTTTAGAATAGTTAAGAAGTTGAAATATGTTCAGAGGAGAATAGTGGCAAGGTAAAAGGAGAATTTGGGCTGCTATCTTCATTGTCTTAGGTAATAAGTAGAACCAATTTGCAGGATTGAGAAGACCGTGGAGGGGTTTTATTGAGCGTAGGGGACATTCTTTCTTGATACGTAAGTAGGAAGGTTTTGGGATGGGGGAGAGAAAACTGCCTTTTCTTCACCACTACCACAGTGACTTGACTCCTGTGACTCTCCGTTATCTGGTCATTTGGTTTTCTTGACTTTGTTCCTTTTTAGAATACTATTGGTTATTCTTGGGTCTTACTCTTTCATATTAATTTTAGAATCACTTCTCAAGTTCTTTTTTTACTTCTCAAGTTCTTAAAAAAATTTCTACTGGGATTTTCATTTGCATTGGAGTGATTTTATAAATTAGTTCAGAGAGGAAGGATTTCTTTTTGGTATTAAATTTTCTTTCAATTTATGAGTTAGGTATAGCTCCATTCAATTATGTGTTTAATAGCATTCAATTAAGTTTTATAATTATTTTTCTCGATAAAATATTTATTATTATCAAATATTAATATCAAATATTTATTATTTGATATTATATTACATATAGATATATAATATCAAATAATATATTGATATATTATTTGATATTATTATCAATATTTATTATTATCAAATATTAATATCAAATATTTATTTGATAAATTTTTAAAGTTACTTTATTTTTTGTTGAGATTGTAAATAGTGGGTACCTTTCCAAAAATATATTTTCTAACTTCTGTTGCTATGCATGCATTTGGTTTTTGTATATTGTTCTAGCAACTTGCCAAACTCTTACTAATTTTAGCAAGTTGACTATAAATTTCTTTTTTTTTGATAGCCTTAATATCTGCAAACAATGACAGTTTTCTTTCTTTCAAATCTTTTAGTTTTAGAATGATTTTTGATCTTCAGAAATGTTTTAAGTTTGATAATTTTGGAATGAAAGTAGTCTTTAAGGAAAATACTTTATTTTATGCATGAGAAAAAGGTGTCCCTGAGAACATGTTTGATTAAGGTCAATGACTGCGTAATGACAGACCTCATACTAGAATTCTGCTATAGTGGTTGTATTATAATACTGCTCAGTTCAGCAGTATCAGTGAAAGAAACAAAAAAGAAAACGTACAATTCACAGTCTCAAAGATGTAAAAACAACCCAGTGCCCACCAATACATGAATGGATTAATAAAATGTAGTACACGCGTCCGCCAGACTGGGAGAATATCATATTCTTATATTGGCGGGAGATATATTTTGGGGATTTCCTCTTAATTTTAATAACTTATTACTATTATTTATAGGAATGTCGTAGTGTGTCTTCAGTGCGGATTTTGTGCAGGATCATGATTTGAATAGTGATTGGTTGCATTCATTACAGAGTGACATAACTGCCGTGATGTTAACCTGATTCAGGTGACTATCAGGAGTCAAGTGAGCGAGATCTCACGATAACTGGCATTCGGCAAATATTTATTGGCAAAAACTTACTTAAATATAAGATCTGACTGTCCTGAGCAGTAAGCAGAGCCTGCAAATTATGAACTGCATATTAAGGGACATACTTCTGTGAGCAGACCTTTCCTTTATCGTTGAATTGTTTGTAGTCTGGACATGAAAATATAGAAGAAGATTACAGGCAGGCCCTGAGTTACAAATATCCAACTTACGCCCAACTTGCACTTACGAACAGAAACTGTTGTAGGTAATAGGCAAATGTACCTGTTCCAGCTTGCATACAAATTCAACTTAAGAACAAACCTATAGAACCTAGCTCCTTGGTAACCCCAGGACTGCCTATAAATGGAGAACCAGGCCTGAAGCTCTGAGTTAAACGTAACGGTCATTTAGTTGTTGGAAAATAACATCATCTGTCAAATGGAATTAATGCTTTTAGAGGATTATTTATTCAGTGGTTTTGTTAGAATTTATAATTTTCTCTTGATTCTGTCATTTCATAAGAACGGAAGCCTATGCAGTGTGCTTGTATATCTGTATTTTAGTACCATTATAAAAATATTTTTTTACTTGGATCAAATGACAGTTTTTTCCTCCAAAAAAGAGTTCTAGACATTTCTTAAGTTTCAGAAACAGTGAACTAAAATATGTGGTTGGGCTTTGAAGCCTTTGAAATTCATTTTGTTTCCTCGTTTGTTTCTCATTTATCTACATTACTACAAATATGTTTTTTTGTGATGTATTGATTATGTTAATTAAGGGTCATCATACTTATACTGAGGCTCAAAATTATCTCTAGGAAAAATATTGACCAATTTTACGATTGTTAAGCTGAAATTTCTTATGATTAATATTGACATTGTATTAATATTGAAAAGGTATTTAGTATCCTAATGTGGAATTAACACAGGCTTAATCAGCACAACACAGGCTTAAAGGAAGGCTTTTGAGTCAGTTCAGTCCTGTTTATCAAACAAAAAATCTTTGATAATATGTAGTAACTTAATGTAAATTAATGATCTCCTTAAACTATAAAAAAGAGAAGATAAATGTAAATAACTTTCCCCATTCTGTAAGAATGAATCAGTAACAGCTGAAGATCTGATCTTTGAATGTGGCAGGTTGGAATGCTTTCAGAGTAGAAATCTAGCCAATTTTCAAGAAAAATCACAATGTTTCAGTTTTGAACTTAGTATATTTGGAGCATATGCAGCAGAACATTTTCTTCTTGCTGTCTCCTGCCAAACTAATTGCGTATGCCACATTAATTTTCCCCTTCTGTTTGGGAAGCTCAAGTGTATGACAGAATAGAAAATTTCCTGATTCATGTTCACCAGTTTTAATGGTAGAATCAAGATGAGAAGTATTTGAGAGAGATTTTATTATATAATTTCCTCTTAAAGAAATTATGTGCAAAAATGAAAATGTTCCATTCACTTAAAATTACTTGTTGAGTACTGTATGCCAGGCTCTGTTACTTAGCCTGAGTGATACAGTGATCAACAGGACAGACACAGTCTCTGTTCTCAGAGAACATACATCCTAGTGGGTGGTGGTGGGAGATGATGGGATTCCACATTCAGAGCTGTGGTGTAGAAAATAAAACATACGAGACAGAGTGCCTTACCTGACATTGGAATGATATGATCTGGGAGAAGAGAAGGCTTAATTTGGTCAGTGGCCACTGAGGTGGGATAGGTTTGGCATATTCCTGTAACAGAAAGGCCAGTGTGGAGGGAGCCTGGTGAATGTGGGTGGGACGGGCTTCAAGTTAGAGAGATAGAGACCAGTTTCATTGGTCCTTTTAGATGATACAGGGACTTTCTGTTTTACTCTATAACAGGGCATCCTTGGAAAGTTTTAAGTGGGAAAGTTTAATGATTGGACTTACTTAAGTGAGATTGCTCTAGTGGCTATTAGGAAAATGAACTGAAAGAGGGTGAGAATGGAAGTTGGAAGCCAGGTAGGGGGGACCACTGTAGCATCTAGTCAGGAGGTGACTGGCTGGCATTAGGGAGTTAGAGCTAGAGGGGCGTGACTGCACCTGTGCTGCTGTGATTGGACTTGCTGAAAGAGTCTGTGTTTTCTGCTGAAGCATTGGGGATTCTGCAAGTTTAATTGTTTGCAACATCATTATTTCATGTGGACTCTGCATGTCTCAAGAATGTCGAATACTACTAAAAGTAAAACATTTTTAACTGTTGGGGGAAGATAGCTTCTTAGCTTTCCTTTGCTATATGGTGTAAAATGTACGCCATTGGGAAAAAAATTAAGTTAGTACTTTAAGTTCTGTTAAGTTTATGCCAAACTGTCATAATTTCTCTACTTTATGTATTACATAAGAATCTGAAAAAAAATTCAAGCCTCTCTCAGTATATGTAGTTGGACAGTTAGTTCTTTTTTTTTAATGAGGAAAAGAATGAATATAATTGCTACATTATATAAATAAAATTTGTGTGTCACTTTTTAGTTTTATTTGCACAGTATATTTACTGGAACCTTTTTTTCCTAGTCACATTGTCCTGATGCTTGCAGATGACATGGCGTGCAATCCTAGAAACCCCAAACCAGCAACAGTGTTTAGTCACAAGAACATGGAACTAAATGTGTATGGCGATGACGTGGAAGTGGATTACAGAAGCTATGAGGTCAATGTAGCCACAGTTTTGAAATGTCATTCCTTATAAGCTCTAAAACCAGTGATAGAACAGAATTGTCATAGTCTTTTCTTTGAAGTTAATTGTGACGAAAGCCTTGACATAGCTCTGTCTCTGAAGTTCTTATTAAGGAAACAATATATGAGTAAAAATATTAAAACATGAACATTTCATACATGTATCTAGGATAGAAAAATTTTACATTGGCTTCTGTATTATTTTGGTGAGATTGCATGGGTCAGCTTTCTTTCATAAGAAATATATTTTATGGTGAATATGTTTTTCATATTTGCTCTATGAATTCACTTTTAGTATTTTTCGTAATTATATTAATTGTGGAAAAGTTATAATGACTAACAAAAAAATCCATGTTTCTACTATTTAATATGCTTCCAGTGTTTTTATGCATATGTGATTAAAAATTAAAATGTAAGTATAAGTATTACATAGTATATTTTCTCTTTTTGAAACTTTATTTTAAATTTAGTAGATAGTGAAAATGTTGCTTGAAATCTTCTCTTATGGAGTCTTCCTGGATAATCCTTCTCCTTCTACCAAACCTATGAAAGCTAAGATGCAGTTTCCTCTGGGTCCCCAGACCTCTTAGGAAGCAATTTTAAAAGCATATCTAATCTCCTCTGAGCCTATAAGCTTCTTGGGCCTATATCTTCTTTAACTTACACCTTGGCAGTACAAATAGCTTATATGTCAGGCATTCAAAAATGTTTGTTCACTGAGTGAAATATTGTGAATGTTTAACTTTTTACTTATTTATTTAGTCTTGAAATGTAGACCAAACATTTCCCTTCCTTGTTAGTCAACAAGAAGTCCTTTTAAAACAATTATTTTGCTGTCTTTTGGGAAAAATGTAAGTTAAGTCACTTACACGCATAAATCACTTACATACATTTACTCATAATAAAGGGTGAATAAGAATTCTGGATACATTTTCTGCTTCTTAAATTTAGAAATGCATAGTATAGAACTTAGCTGTTAACTTTATATCAGCCTTTTATTCTCCATGACTTTAAACATGCCTTCAAAGAATCTCAGAGGGTTAGAAATTCCAGACTGGGAAATATAAAGTGTTACAAAGCTTTTACACATTTATGATACTCCTAATAAAGTCTAAGTAACAAAATGCTTCCAAAAGTGAAAGATACATAATTTTGGGGACTTACATATGGAACTATTTTTTTAAGGTTTATCTATAATTGACTAAATAGATGCATAGATTAGCTGCAGTGATGTAGCTGATTTTATTTACACATTCTTTTATATCTTCCCAAGGAATTGCCTATGAAGACAGAAAAATTTCTAAGAATTTGGGTAATTTTTAGGGGCAGATTTCTCATAGCAATTAAAATTTTTAGAGTTATTTTTCACCAACGTAGTTTTTCTTTGTTAATTTTTAGTACTTTTTTTATAGAAGCAAAGTTACTTTGAACCGTATGCTTAAATGAATCTATTTTGAGTTATAATTTTCTGTGTTTTAAGATACAGAAAGTAATACATAGAGAGCATTCAACAGAGAAGTACATGGAGCAGGAAGAAAGAACGTTTTTGAAAATAGAAAATAATTTTCAAGTTTCCCCAGGCTCTGTTTCATCTGATTTCTCTTATTTATTTTTAGGTAACTGTGGAGAATTTTTTACGGGTGTTAACCGGCAGGATCCCACCAAGTACTCCTAGGTCAAAACGTCTTCTTTCTGATGATAGAAGCAATATTCTTATTTATATGACAGGTAATTGCATAATTTTTAGATTTTATATTAAAACATATCGAAACTTTCTTAAAAGAAATCCACATTGAAAAAAATTGAAACACATTAAGTGATTTTTGGTTAAAATGGTTTGTCATGTAGGTCTGTTTTCCTGTGATACGGAACTATTTGAAATGGTATTCGAAAACAACACAACATTTTGAATTGTTTCTTATTTTCTTATGTCTATATTTCTTCCTATTGCCCTGCTAAAATTTGTCACCTTTTCCTTAGTATCCTGCTACGGCGTCCTTCAGTTTGCCCTCTTGTTAATCATCCTGCTGACGTGTTTGACAGAAATTGTGAATCAGTCCCTCTTATGCTTAAAAATTTATAAGGTTTTCCATTGATTGAGTTTCAAATTTTAGTGTGCATAGGGTTTCTTGAATGTAGATTCTTAGGCCTTATTCTAAAATTCTTACTTAGTTTTGGTCTGGAGTGGTGTTCATGAAATTGTCATTTGAACATATTCCCCGGATACGAGAGGTAGTGGTCTTTTGACAACACTTTGAGGAATACTGGAGATAAACTTTTGTATAATGTAATATAGTTATAATGTATACTATACATTATAGTATATAATATATTGACATATTATGATT